AACTTAAATCCTCATGGAGAATAAACTTGGTGGATTTTAGTTATTAAGTTGATTGGATGGATTAAGTTAGGGCGTTGAAAAGAAAATTTCGAGAGATACTCACAATAGGGTTTGCAACTGATGATTGAAGAAGAAGGTGAACCGACTGAACAACTGTGAGATCCCACATTGCTGGAGAGGAGAACAAACATTTATGATAAGAGTGTAAAAACCTTTTTCTAACAGACGCGTTTTAAAATCATAAAACTGACGCAATTAACCAAAACATATAATATCTACAAGCAGTGAGTTTGAGATATCATAACAACGAACGAACGAGGATGATGATGTTAAATTATGAAAAGAAACAAAGTTGCAAACACCAATGCTTCTATTTCCCTTTGCTCAAGGCTACCAAACATATTTGTTTAAACATTTGCTCATAGATATCAATTCCATTTGATATGATTTGATTGGGTGAACTTCACAAGGACTCATATTTGTTTCTTTGTTTACCTAATTAGTAGTTGGATTATGCTACAAATTCCAAGAAAGAGGGAGATTTTGAAGCATATTTGATATGGGGTTTTCATATTAATTATGAACTAAAACAATTGGCATTTCTTGTATGAACCACATTTACTTCATTTAATTGGAAATCAATTATTTGAAATTTCAAGTGGCATTCTAAATACAAATTCACTCGTTGAGCCCACTTTTTATTTTTTTATTTTTTTAAAATATTATGTCAACAATTTTGTATTTTTACATCAAGATAGCATAATTAGTTTATTCTTTTTTTTAAAAAAAAAAAAAGAAAAAAACGAAATGGATAAATTATAAAAAACAATATAATATAAAATTTTGAAATATTAATATTTATTTATCATTCGTGAATGTGTGTATATACATAAACAAATGGACGATGCTAATTTGACTGTCGGTTTGAGGAAATCAATGAAAAAACGATTTGTAGTCAAACAATGAATTCTATTAGAAAAAAGAGACTTTTTTTTTTTTTTATTAAAAAAGAAATTATTATTATTATTATTATTATTTTTTGTGAGGTTTCACGTGTGAATGTTTGTTTTTTTGTGGTCCTTTTTTTTAAAAGAAGAAGAAGAAGAAAAAAAAAACAAACAAAACAAACATTCGTGTCAAGTCTTTCTCTATGTATTTCAAGCTATTTGGTTTATTTGAGAGTTTTCTTTTAAATTATTAAAAAAAAAAAAAAACTAAAACATTTTAATTTTTTTAATTTTAAGTTACACAATAAATTTGAACAAGGTAACCTACCTAATCAGATCACAAATGGATCAGTAGATTTATGAGGAGAAGATGATGAAGATCTTGCACATTAGTGTGGTGCTTCTCGATACTTGAGCTATAGAGTGATTTAAGTACAATAAGCTAAGAGTTTGGAGGTTGAGAATAAACTTACTTCTCTTATGTCATAACATCCAAAATGGTGCTTCAAAGTTGATTGGGTTGACCCTTAAACCAATTAGATCGAGACATGTATTTGGATGACAAATTTTGCGAAGTAGGAGCCTTGAAGGTCTTGAGGGGTGTGCGATTAGGCTTCAATAGTAGTCTTTGAACTTGTCCAATAGGTTGAGGGTCATACTTTTTATTTGTATTTGTAGCATCTTAGTGGTATACTTTTAGAAAGCAATAGCCATTAAAATTTTCTTATGTCATACCATTTTGATTAAAAAATTTGAATGAAAGATGACTTGTCAGGAGCAAAATAGTTTAATGGCTTACGATCGAAGCCCGCATGGCTCAAATGTCCAAAAAAGAGATTTGTGAGGTCGAGTTGAGGACGAAGAAAATTACCCAAAGGGGTAATGAAGTTGCTTCATTGATTGAGCGACCTCAAGATCTCCTATATTGACACAACAAAACATCCATCGAACCTCATATCAATCTTTACGAACGAAACTCCACGTTCAATTCTCTTCACTTCATAATAACAATCGACTTGCTTTTCTTTATTAAAAAAAGAAACGAGAAACAAAAAACGTCACCGTACACCGCTTTTACTACCAATATACCAAGATCATATTGCTCCAAAATGAAGCAAATTAGAACGTGGAAGCCATACATATTGAAAAGAAAAAAAAAACACACACACACAATATTATTGCACAAATTGGGGTTTGCCGACTGTATATAGTCAAGGGTAGGGCGGCGGTCAACCATAGCTGCTGGTTTTAGTCAACCTCATCCTCCCCTCTCAGCTACTACTTGAAACAGCAAACCCTAATATTAAGAACCATATAATAGAGATGAAATATATATATTATTATATAGCTTATGTTATAGATTAATAAATTTAAGTGAATGTCAAATATTTCTTGGGGTTAATGGTTTTAGGTATGTTTCTATTTCCTATAAAGTTGCATAATATTTTTAATTCATCAGAAAAGAGAGCTATCTCAAGGGCTTCCTTGTTTGTTTGTTCTTTTTAATGGTCGTGTTCTTGGTCTTGTTTTTGTATTACTATACAATAAATGAGCTAAAACCCAAACCCAATTCAAATTCTTGTCTCGAGTCAAACCTAATATATTAATAATCAATTAAAAAACATTCTACATATAATTTGGTCATGCCTTTGATTTAGTCATATTGATAGAATCGTTGAGTATCAAATAAAGAAATATAGAGACTCAGAAGATATAGTCACAGTGTGATCCATAATTGAATACTATCAGATGGGCGATATACTTTAGAAAAGGAATTGACATGGATAAGAGTTAAACGAGATATATGATTATTTGAGGGGAGACTGACAGTACTTTGTTCAAAGGTAGAATTGACCAAAATCTCACACGGACTAGATAAGATAGAAACCATGAGTACATAAGTGAGAACAATTATTTCTATGGATACGAAACGTTTTGAATAAAACCAAAAAAATCCATAAAAATTTGTGATATTATCGTTATAGAGATATGTAAAGGGTCTGTAATCCTTCGTAAGTCAACCTCGACGATTTCAAAAGTTAGTATATATCTTATTAAATAAAAGTCAAACGTTATATTAATCGAATGAGAATAAATGTCAAAGAAGCAAAATAAAAATGATATAAACCATGCTTTTTAAGCCGACTTCGTTATATGTTATGGTTTGAAATTTTTTCTATGAACACAATTTTTTAGTATTCATCAATTTGTATTGTTTTTTTATAAGAGATCAATATGATATTGTTTTAATTAGAGTTTTGATCTTTAACCCCCAAATTGTATTCACATTTACCATTCACTCCTTCAAAATCTTTTATAGTAGATTTAATATTATGACACGTGAATAAAAGAATGATACATGAATAAATTGAAATTACATCCGAACTAGAGTGATCATGAAAATAGGATGACTAAGAAAGATTTAAAAGAATTGAAAGTTATTACCCATACCAACAAATTACACATTTTTTCGGTAGCTCGATCATAGGGACTTGTAAGAGCTCAAGTCCACTGCTAATAGATATTATCCACTTTGACCTATTACGGATCGTTGTTAGTCTCACCATTTAAAAATGCGTTTGCTAGAGAGAGGCTTTCACACTCTAGTTTTCACACTCTTATAAGGAATATTTCGTTCCTCTCTCCAACTGATGTAAGATCTCACAATCCACCCCCCTCGGGCGTCCAACATTCTCGCTGGCACACCATTCGGTATTTAGCTCTAATACCATTTATAACAGTTCAACTCCACTGTAAGTAGATATTGTCCGCTTTGGTCCGTTACATATTGTCAAACGTTGACCTCTTCCTCGCAAACGCGTTTTAAAATCGTGAGGTTAACAACGATACGTAACGAGGAAAGTGAATAATATCTGCTAGGAGTGAGCTTGGGCTCTCATGTAACTTCATGGTTGAACATATTTTTCTTGGAGCAATTTTATGTTGGATGACTTCCTAAGGATACACGTGTCGAATTCAGATTCCAAAACGTTTATAATCATAATTTTTTAAACTATTTTTATTAGAAAAAAATTAGAAAAAGTGTCTAAAACTCAATAGGAACACAACTTAGACAGTCTTAAGCATTATGAGCCGTTTTTAGAAGTTGGTGGTTCAAATTTTTGACCCACATCGTTTAGCTAACTATATGTATATATATATATATATATATTCTCGAGAACGCCATAGAAAGAACATCTCTCATCTAGATATTACCATGAGAGAGAGAGAGAAAGCATGTTTTATTAAAAAAGTAACAAAATAAATAAATAAATAAATAATTTTAATGTTTAAATTAATATTATTCAATGGTTTGAATTAGAAAAATCCAAAAGAGGTTACACTAGAAGCTACTCTTGGATTAATTTTCAAACAAATTACTTTAAACGCACCGAAAAAATCTAATTAATTACCAATTAAAAATAAATCACATGTCTAAATTTTCTTCCCCATAAAAATAGATGCTTCGATTCTTAACAAAATAATAATAATAATAATTATTATTATTATAAAGTTTAGTTTCTCCAAATTTATAAATTTTAAAAAGTATCTTATAAGTATTTTAATCTTAATTTTATTTTTAATATTTCTTAGTTTTATATGGTTTATGTAATAGAACCGGTTAAAATTGATTCTACTTAAATTAATTTTAATTCTAATGATTCAATTAATTTTTTTTTAAAAAATTAGTAGTATAGACACAAAAATAAAAGTTTATTAATTTTTTATTAAAAAATAACCTAATTTATTATATATATATATATTTTTTTTTAAGAACTTAAAAAAAATTATTGAAAGATGTAAGGAAAAATATTTAAAGTATTTTGGGTATGTATTTAAGGTTAAAGAATTCAGCAAATAATTATTTTTAGGAAAGTCCAATTATTAAGTAATAATTATTAATCTTTCTGTTGGGCAATTAATTAGTTATTATTAATTAATCTATTTTTTATGTTTAAATAATCACTCACTTTGGGCTCACGCACGTTGGTCACCCATTATAAATATACACTCTTCAACCTCCGTCTTCTTCAACAATATTAAGTCTCTCTCTCGAAGTTTCACTCTAAGAAACGCTTTCTCTCTCCACCGTCTGTTTCTCTCTCTAAGCTTTTTTCCGGCCAACAGTAGCAAAATATGGGTGGCAATTCGCCGTGCGCCTCGTGCAAACTCCTCCGGCGACGGTGCGCCAAAGACTGCATTTTTGCTCCCTATTTTCCCTCCGATGACCCCCACAAGTTTGCTATTGTTCATAAGGTTTTTGGTGCCAGCAATGTCAGCAAAATGTTGCAGGTTCTTCTTCTTCTTCTTTGTGGTTTTCTCTGAGTTTCGGGTTTCGAGTTTCGGGTTTCGAGTAATTTCCATGTTTTATTGGAAAAATAAGGCGATATTAATTTGACTTTTCGATAATATCTTTACTGGGCGCGAAACCTTTATTTCATCATTAAAATGTAATTAAATTAATTTTATGTTTTTTCGGGATTTTTTCCGAATGTCAACAAAACTTAAAACACGAATTTTTTCTTGTTGTTTTCTTTATTCTCGTTGACATATTCACTAATACAAAAAATTTAATTAAAACATGAAAATACAACACGAGCCTAAATTTGAAATATACGTTTTTAGGCTCGTGAGTTAGACCGCTTGGGATAAGCCTAAAACACGAGCCTAAAGACAAACTTTTCTCGCTATTCTTTCCATTCTCGTCAATATCTTTATAAATATAAGTTTTTTTTTTTCTTTTCAAAACATGAAATATATAATGAAAAAAAAATCACAATATTAAAGCATAAGAGTCTCTTCTATTATGATCGAAACTTTCGTGACTCATTTACTACGAGTTTCTCTACTAATTTGAAACATTTGTCGAGTAACTTAAAGTATTTATTTAATAAAAAATAAAAAAAGAAATGATTTTGATGATGATTTGTTGAAACAGGAACTGCCAGTGCAGCAAAGAGGCGACGCCGTGATGAGCCTAGTTTATGAGGCAAGTGCAAGAGTGAGGGACCCAGTTTATGGCTGCGTAGGGGCAATTTCGTACTTACAAAATCAAGTCTCACAGCTACAGATGCAATTGGCTGTCGCTCAAGCTGAGATTCTTTGCATCCAGATGCAACAAGACCACCCCGTTTTCCCAAATTGCCCTCAGATCCACTCCGACGAGAAACCCCCCACTCTTCTACTCCCCCCGCCGTCATCGCCGCCGTCTCAGTGCCTCAATTTTGCTTCCTCTCCCAATGTAATTTATGATGCCATTTTTGGACATGACATCGTTTCTTAAATCATGATCATAATTATCACTTCATCCCTTTTTTTTTTCCTCCTCCAATTTCTTTTCCATTTTCTTAAATATTAGATCGTGAGGGTCAACGTTGCAATAACTAATAAATAAATATATATAATTAAAATATAATTTGAAAATTTTTAATTTAGAGTGACGAATTAAGGTCTACAAGAAAGTGCCAACGGTGGTCGAGAAAGAGATGGGGGAGGTAAAACTAAAAGAGACGTTTTTCAATTTTACCATATAGTGATATTTTCGTAATATTAGAAGCTTTTTTTTTTTCGATCATTAATAAGTATACCGAACACACGTGCGAGCAGTCGTATATGATTAATGGTTAGAGACATAAAGAGAGAGTGGGTGACGTGGAGGGCAATGGGTAGGAAATGAATGAGCCCTTGGTGGGAGAGGGAAACCCTTCATTCAATTCTCTCTCTCTAACTCTATATTGATTAAAATTACATTATTAAAGAAAAAATGTCAAATCAGATGAATTATTATGAATGATAGGTAAATTATAATAAATTTATTTATTTTATAAAATTTTTAAAAAAATAATAATAATAAAACAAAAGGCATCAACCTGGGTCTGGAAAGATTCCTTGTCTCTATAATGTGGAAGCAATTTGTTAAGTCAAAGCCCCACAGGAAAAGAAGCATTTCCATTTTCCTCTATATATATATATATATCAAAATTCCACTCTCTTGTCTTCATCCAATAATCTAATCAAAATTTTGTACTTGGTTTGATAAATATTTTATTTTTATTTTTATTTTTATTTTTAATTAATAAAAATATTCTTAAACTCTATATATATATATATATTCAAAGGTTTTAACATTACCTTTTAACTAAAATAAATTCCTTATTTAAAAAAAATATATATATATATATATATATTTTTATGTATTGTTTATTAATATATTTGATTTTTTTTAAATAACTTTAAAAATATCTCACTATGTTTTTAAAATATTTTTATGAACGTATAAAAGTATTATTCATATTTTAAAAAAAATTTAAAACTTTTTAACGTTGGTAATTAACAATAAACTTTTTATCTATGCTGTGATAATCTCTCTTTGATTTCATCTATTTTATTTATTTGAATACATGACTCAACAAATTTTTTTTCATATTTTTTTTACAAGTTTAATTTTTAAAAAAACGTCTGACTAATTATCGACGTAGACATAAATTTTTACCTATTAACTTAGAAGGGTCGGTCAGTAAAAAATTGTTGGTAAACATAAAAAAAAAAAAACATTTTCATGGATTGATGTACGCATACACATATAACACATAAATGGAAAAACATAATCTTATATAGAGGATAAAATTAGAAAAATAAAAGAGATAAAAATGATGATGATCCCATAATCTAGCTTTTTCACAGAGATCTTGGCTTATCCATTTAAAACCAAAATAAATAAATAAATAAATAAATAAATAAATAAATAAATAAATAAATGAATAAAAGTTGTAACAAGTTCAATGATTCTTGAAGATGGAGTTATAAAGTAATAGAGAGAAAATGATTGATTTAATTTGGTTTTCTCTAATTCCTTAAAACTTACATAAAAGCAATGGTTTTTAGGTCATGCGCACAATGGCTACCCATTATCCACTCATTTCATCATCATCAATCATCAGCTGCAACTCCAAATGGAAGTTTGAAAAATATGCCAACAAATAGAGAATAAACTAATATTTGTTTTCCAAGGGCGTTTTTGGTATTTTCGGTACTTTAACACGGTGTGAGATCTCACGTCGGTAAAAAAAAAGAACGAAATATTTCTTATAAGAGTGTGGAAACCAAACATTATACTGACCAAATATAAAATTAAAATTAAAATCTTTCAATTAAAAAATTTAGTTATATCATAGAAATTGATGAAGTGGGTAAGAGAAAATAAAGAGAGAGTGGGAAGCTTCTCTGTTGTCGCTTTTGAGGGCTCGAGAATACATATAATATCTCCAAAACCCTTCAAATCCTTTGTTTTAGAATCTTATTTATTATTAATTCTCCATTTTCTTTTACTCATCTTTTAAAATAATATTAAAAATTACCTGTTTAATCATGTATAAGATTAAAAGGTTTAGGGATTTTATAAGACATAAAAAATGCGTTCGTGAATTTAAAAAATGATTAAATATATGATGAAGACTTGTTAGCCACAAAATTAAACGTTCGTTTAATATATTAGACACTAACTTAAAATATAAACGACTAAAAAAAAGGGTAAATACTTGGTAGCTACTTATAGTTGATAAGACACCATAAATAATAATAATAATAAATGGTTGATTTTTTTCCTTAATTTAATGAATGTCAAATAGTTGACAAACATCACAAATTTTCAGTACCTAAAATGGGTTTGACATTTTTGGAGTGAAAGAGAAATTAAGAATTGAAATAAAAAATGTAATTTTTGAAAACTAAAAACTAGATGAATTTTTTTTGTTTTTTGTTTTATTATTTATTTTTACAAATGTTTTAAAATTTAAGTCATTAAAAAAAAATTGCTTTTCATTTTTTTTTAATTTGGTTAATTAGGGATTAAAATGTGTCTATTGAATTAAACAAAAAAAAAAACTTACTAAAAAAATTAAATTTGAAGATATTATAATTAAAAAGAAAAAAAAATTATATTTTGAAACACTAAAAAAATATTAAAATAATAATACCAAATGTCAACAAGGGAGAGTTCCAACTAAAAAGTTCATGGATGTCCAATATCCAATGTATTTTTTCTTTTTTTAATTTCAAACGTAAATAATATATTATATAGTTTTAACAAAATATATACATAATATAATCAAATATATGCTTCACTTGACTTATGATAGTGGAGTGGTTGAAAGAAGTGGTCAAATAGTTCCAAAGCATATTATATCGAATTTAGAATCATTTCCTTAAAGTGCCTTTATGTGATAATTTCACCCTAAACTATATATTATAATTTTATATGAGTTGAATATGAAGATCCTTATAATAAATTCATAAATACTAAACTTCCCAACCTATTTGATTTTAACCCCAAGAGCTGGATTAGTCATAGATTTTATTTGAGGTGGGGCTGGGTAAGAATGAAGAATATAATCCTCAACAAGAGGAGAAATTTCTCGCTCTTGTTTAAATGGAGTTTTTCTGCCCTTTTTGGAGTTAATTCCTGCCGATTAAATGGATATCTATATATAAAGTTCATTAATCTCCTACTCACCCACTCGAGCATCTCAAAGACTTTAATTAAGAGAGAGATTATGAGATCACATCAGTAGTGAGAGAGAACGAAACATTCTTTACAAGGGTGTGAAAACTTCTCTTCTAGCATACTCGTTTTAAAAACCTTGAGGAGAGGCCTAGAAGGAAAAGTCCAAAGAGGACAATGGGCTTTACCTTCTGCTAGCAGATATTGTCCTTTTTAAGCTTTTCATCAAGTTTTTTAAAACGCATTAGTAGGGAGAGGTTTCCACACCCTTATAAAGAATGTTTCGTCAACAATTGATATGAGATCTCACATAAACTTTTAAAGATAACAAAACTAGTACGTTCAAGCTCAAAACCTAACCAGTAATCCGATCATGGAGCTCAGCAACTAGAGAGTGAGCATCCTACCCATCATATCCAGTCAATCACCGTCATTCATCTTCCTCAACACCTTCAATTTCGTGAAGCTACACATGATCGAGTCATCAACTAAGAACTCAGTGACCACACATCCCAAAGACGTCAAGAGTGAGTTCAAACAGTTTAACAGAGCCATTGGAGGGAACATTTAGATCTTGACAATGTGGGCTCTTATTCCACTAGTAAGCATCAATCAAGGACACCTAACCCTCACCACGCCAGTTTCAATAGGCTGATAGCCAAAGAGACCCATCTATCCATCACGTTTGAAGAATTTCACCTGCACATTCTTCAAATTTAAAAGCTAAAAGCAATATAAATCCAGATATCAAGAAGGTGGCAGCCAGCAAACCTGAAACACAATAAAGAAAATTAGTTGAAGAACAAAATGAAAAAGGAAGAACAGCTTGAACAAGAACAAATTATCCTAGTGTGCATTATTGTTGATCTTTTATAGCATTTGATAGATATGCTATGCTGAAGAGCAATCAGTAAGATCTTTGGTATATGGATCACAAAATTGTCCATTAATGGTATGCAAATGCCAATCATCCAAAAATTATTGGTAGACAGGGAACTCCAGAAGTCCCAAAATTTATTGTCCAGCACAGTAAAATGTGACACTTAATAGATTAAGCCTCTTCAGAGCACCACTCTCGAGCATTTTGAAACATCCGCAACCATGGGCTAGGACCTTCTTTGCTCACATTCCACTGCTTGGGATACCAAGGGAACTGCCACATCAAGAAGCAACGTTCTGGGTGAGGCATCATAGCAAGGTGCCTACCGTCTGGAGAACAAATTGCTGCAACTCCCAGAGGAGATCCATTTAGATTGAAAGGGTAAACTTCCGTTGGCTTCCCATCATCATCACAGTATCTTAATGGAGCCAAGTCTGAGTGGAGAAGACGGTCCAGAACGCCATCGTCTGGGAAGTATGCTCGCCCCTCACCATGGGCAGACCACACACCCAAAGTGCTGCCTTCCATTCCCTTAAACATTATAGCAGGTGAATCCTTTATGGTCACACTTGTGAAACGACACTCAAAGCGTCCTGATTGATTATGGATGAACCTTGGTTGTGATGGATCCCCACCGACACCATGTACACCACCGACTTGAGGGCCTGGTACCCACCCTAAAAGAGCCATGAGCTGACACCCATTGCAAACTCCAAGGCTGAAAGTATCGGGTCGTTTATAGAACTCTTGAAATTGATTCAGTAAGGGCTGGTTGAATCGGATTGAAGCAGACCAACCTTTTGCAGAGTCGAGCACATCTGCATAACTAAAACCTCCAACAAAAACTATTCCACGGAACTGCTGTAAAGTGATTTTTCCATTCAAGAGATCGGACATTGTCACGTCCCACGGTTCAAAACCAGCTGCGTAAAATGCAGCAGACATTTCCCGGTCTCCATTGCTACCTTCCTCCCGAATTACCGCTATCTTGGGTTTACGAGTTGAAGACAAAAACTTCTCATCTGTAGAGGAAGGAACAAAAGACAATTCCCACAAAGGTTCACGCCTAGCTTTCAATCCCTCCTTTTCTGATTCTACACAAGATGCCAATCTTTGCAATTTTTCCAGCTCAAAACTAGTTTCTTCCCATATATCTCTAAGTACCGAAGTTTCCTCATTCAAATGACACATACCATCGACCTTGACTTCAACGGTCGGAGTAACAGTTACTTGTCCAATGATATCAGCAGTAATGCCTGCAGTAGTTAACTCGGCCATTACGCCATCCAAATTCTTCCTGCTTACCTCAAGTACAAGTCCTAGCTCTTCAGAATAGAGCGTTTGGAGCAAACTCTTCCCACGTGATGCCAAGTCCAAGCTGATGCCACAATTTCCAGCAAATGCCATCTCCAAGGCAGAAACCAGCAAGCCACCATCACTGATATCATGACCAGCAGAGATCAACTCTTTAGTAAGGAGGTCTTGAATGCTCTCAAAAACTCTTTTGAAGTAAGGAACATCATCGAGATCGGGACAAACATCTCCAATTTGGTCAAAAGCCTGAGCAAGAGCTGATCCACCTAATCGTCGCTCTCCCTTTCCCAAATCAATGTGAAGAAGAACGCCATTATCCCCTAATTTTAAATCAGGAGTAACCGTTTTTGTTATATCAGGACAAGTAACATAAGCACTAATTACAAGATTTCCAGGAGCCTTAACGACCTCTCCACCAGCTTGAGCTGCCATTGACAGACTATCTTTACCTCCATCAATAGCTATGCCAAGTTCGATCATAGCCTCCGAAAGAGCCACAGCTGCATCATACATAGCTGCCCCTTCCCCGTCAAGCTTGGCAGCATACATCCAATTTCCACTCGCTTTAACATCAGAAAGACAAGAAACTTTAGCCCAAACAAGATTAGTGAGTGCTTCTCCAACTGCCAACCTAGCCATTGCTTTGGGATCGAGTAGGCCTTTTATCGGTTGTTCCCCTATTGCACATGCACCTCCAGTCAAGCCCGAATAAGTTTGTGCAATAACTGCAACATCTGCAAGAGTAATCTGCAATGGACCTACAGTTTGTTGCTGAGCCACAAGACCTGTTACACATCTATCTACTTTTGTAGTCAAGAATCGTTTTGAACATACTGATGGAAGCCTCAACACTCTCTTAAGAGAATCTGACACTGTCACTCCAGGAGCAATATCAAGTGGCTCCAAAGCATGAACAACGCGCTGGAATTCAAAGGTTTTCTGAGGCATGTCTCCAAGAACTTTCTCAAGCTCAAGATCTACGGCAGGAGGAGGCGGGGGAAGTCCCTTTGAAGTGCATTTTTGGGTGGCAATACTATCAACTAAAACACAACGACCATGACCACTTATTACGCCAATTACAGCCATTGATAACCTCTCTCTGTCACAAATTGACTGTAACAAGGTCCGACATTCAGGCTTAACTAAAATAGCATCTTGTTCTTGGTATTCTGCACCCCAAATCTCCAACACAGACATTGTATGGTCACCCACAACAATTGCCCGAATATCAATTTCAGCTCCTTTCGGATATATAATTTCCTTCACAACATTACAATTCCCACCAGCTCCTTGATCATGAATACTAATAATTGGGTTATTTTCCCCCATTTCAACACAAGCACGAACAACACGATAAAGTTTTTGTGCCATCTCAGCGTCTCCACGCTGCACAGCATTAAAATCAAGTTCTGCATCATTCTGACCACTAACCATGCTTGATGCAGCCCCACCTCCCATACCAATGCGATAAGCAGGGCCTCCAATTTTCACAACCAACATTCCAATATCAGGCTCTTCCTTTGTGATGTGAATATGATCAATTTGCCCAATTGCTCCACTAAACATAATTGGCTTCAACCACTCTCGTCTTTCGCCACTTGGCAGTCTCATTCCAAATGTTCTAGTATATCCTTGAATCAGTGGCTCCCCAAATTTATTGCCGTAGTCAGATGCACCATTACTTGCATCAATCAAGATCTTCAAAGGCGAAGCCAAGTTTGGTGGGTAGGCAAAAGATGAATCTTCCCATGGAGCAAAAGACCCCTCCATATTGAGATTTCCTACACAATAACCAGCTGTAGATGCCACAACAAAAGAACCCTTCCCAGTCGCATGAGTATCCCTTATTCGACCTCCTACACCAGTTTCTGCACCAGGATAGGGAGCCACTGCGCACGGAAAATTATGGGTCTCGGCTGTAAATAAAATATCAAGATCACGGCTACTTTCTTCTAAAGGGCTCGTTGAACCAGGATGAACAGGTCGCAACTGATTAGCCAAGAATCCCCGAATTGCACTGGAATTATCCTTAAATCCAATCACAGAATTGTTAGGATTTGCCTTCAAGGTGCTCTTCACAATCTGCATAAGCGTTCGGCTCATGGGCTTTCCATCTATTACAAGCTTTCCAGTAAAAAACCAATGTCTGCTGTGCTCACTGTTGGATTGAGCAATATCAAATAACTCCACGGTTGTCGGATTTCGCTTTATTTCCTCGCTGAAAAGTTTGGTGTAGTATTGAAGATCTTGTTCATCAAATGCTAATCCCATCTCCTGATTAATCTCCTCCAGTGCCTTCCGACCTTGCTCTATAACAGGCACAAAGCGAAACTCTTCAGGTATCACACTAGTCTCAAATGATTTAAGCCTCTGAACATAAACACATTCAGTCATCCGATCATGAACCATTGCAGAAAACTCATTAATTTGATTTTCTTCTAATGCACCTTTACTATACAACAAATACCTCCTGGATCGTTCCATACGTGTCACCTCTGTTAATCCACATGCTTGGCAGATAGACACGGCATTAGAGGACCAGGCCGTGGTGAAGGACAAACGGGGTCCAACCTCAATTATAACAGAATCTAGTCCTTGCCGCTGCTTCTTCTCAAGAAAGCTCTCAGTTCCCAAATTGTCAGGCTCATACGTTTCCTGAAGAAGCCATCTAAGCACAGACACCTTTTCATTTGAAATCTCAGATTGAATCCCAATGTTGAAACACTGCTCAGTTTCCAAACCAACAATCTGATTCGAAATCTTTGCTTGGACGGACTTGAGAAGCTCAGAAGTGGCACTTTCCTGAATCAAAGGATCCCGGAAGAAATGAATAACCTCAGCAGTGGGCTTCTCAACCAAGCTTGACGCCCCATCTACTCGGCTTGCCACGACCTTACAATCCACAGCTCTGGCTTTGCTCGATGCACGACATCTCAAAGAAACATATCTTCTGCTTGAGTTAACTGATCCCACAGCTGAACTATTCAGCATCCCCCACAACCCACGGCGTTTACAGTGAGAATAGCTTGGCAGAAACAAATTCTGCCTACGCCCACCCTGTCAAAAGCGGAGAGGTATTCATAAGCAAAGTGAATATGAGACAAACAACCATTATTTACCATCCGAAAACCAAAATTAACTTCTCAAAATTCCATTATGAAATTCCTCAGAAAGCCAAAACAACAATCAAAGAAAACAAAACATACATGGAGGAACTCGGCCGCAGTAATCTCCCCGGCAGTAGCCATTTAGCAAGCCCGCAAGAACAACTCCGCTTGTAAACAACAAATGATCGGCTATTTCCTTTCTATAACAATAGAAATGGAGATACACTTCACATGAATATGGTAACGAAGACGGAATCAATCAAATCGTTTCAAAAGGAAAAGTCATAACGCTTAAGAAGCTTGAGCTACTTACCGCGGAAGCGTAGACGAGATTGGTAATATTGAGAAAACTGAGCGACGGCGCCGGAGAAGCTTCTTAAAGGGTTTTCGATTAGCGACGGCGACAGAGGGGACTGAAGAAGAGCGAAGGGATTCTCTGAGCACAAATCGTAGTGGGTTCTCTCTGATATTTTTTTTTTCGTTTGTGATTTTAAGAACAAGTGGGCTTCTCTCTCTGTTTTTAGTTGTTTTTTTTTTTCCTTAAATTGGCTAGGTTTTACAGATCATTTCTAATTAGATTTGGAGACAGAAAATTTTGGAAAATTAAAAATAATTTTTTTTCCAACAAATTTTTGTAAAAGTATTGCATTTTTTTAATGATTCCGTTCCTCTTTAATTATTTTTGGTTATCTTTTTTGTATGCTAAAAAAAAAAAAAAAAAAAAGAATTAGGGTTCATACCTATATATGTAAATTATAAAGGCATTCATCATTATCAGTAATTAAAAAGTTTAAATAAACATTTAATTAATTAATCAAAATAAATATTAATTAACCAATTTAAGTCGTCTACTTTCCATCAAACTTAAATAAATGGACGATGGGAAATAGAAAATCAGAAAAGCGCGCCGAAATTGTTGATAGGCAGCGAAGGAAGATGAAATCACGAACCACCGTGTTTGGTCATGGTTTTGTGGCTTTGGGAGAAATGATGGGATTCTGCATTGCTTAAACGATCGATGGCGAGGATTTGGGAGAGTATCAGTGTTGGATGTGATTTAAGCTGCAGAAAAATCGTCGTGACGGAGATATTCGATTCATCAATTCACAAGTGTTTAAAGGAAGTTTGGTTCAATTGAATTAGGGCTTTCACTCAGAGACAGCTAACATTCGGTTCATGGAATTAATTTGGGAGGAGAATCATCGTTGATCGCTGTGGAGTTCGCTGGAAAATCGGGTAAATTTTAGAATTGTTTTCTATATTTCTCAGTTTTCGACCGATTGACGAGCTTTTGAACCTCAAATTTCCTTCATGGTTAATAGTGATTGAATTTCCTAAAAGTTATTGGGAGAAATCGATCGTTACGCTGCCAGAAAAGGATCGTCAAAGAGAAAACACATAAATGGAAGCTCTGAAATCAAATGAAATTCCACGCATCTGGAGGTTGGAGAATCAGTTCGTCTGAGTAACTGATGGAGTATCCCTTCTTCTCAAAATTTTCGAGGTGATTCCAACCGCACTAATATTTATTATGATTTTAGGACCTAATTAGTAGATTTTGAGAAATTTGAAGGAAGGAAAAACATTAATTTCGCAAGAACCAAGCTTTAATTGAGGTAAATAGTAGTTAATTGGAACATTTATCTAAGTTTTGCATTGTATTGACTCGAATATGACTTGTTAACGATGGTTGCGGATGAAATATGATTGAGATGATTGATTTTGGCTTATTAGAGCGTGTTAAGTGATTGAACGCATGTCTTTGAAATATGATTAAGATGGCTGATTTTGGCTTATTAGAGTGTGTTAAGTGATTGAACGCATGTCTTTGTAGTTAATCTTGAATAGTGAACCATCTGAACAGCCAATGTTTGCATTTGTATTAGTTGAGTTGGATGATATAGGGTCGTGCCTTGGATGCATATGATATGTAATGCCATCAGGTTATTATGTGGGAACTGTTAGGAGGGTCTCCAACTATCATCTACAATGAACATGTCTCGATTGACAGGGGTCTGTAGTTGGCATGCACAAGGGTCGCTCCTTCACGATTACGATTGTGTGAGGACTGCTATAGAGTCATCAACTAATCTTTAGTAGGAACTAGATGACAGGGTTCGTATACATCCAAAGTTGGAACAGTTAGGAGGTTGCATCTCAAATGTGTGCGTTTTAAAACGATGATTAAGAATAGTAGAGAGCATAGCTAGATTATAAATTTTTGAACTAACAAACAACGAAATAAAGGTTCATAGATACAAACTCCATTAAGAACAGAACACAGCCAAACACAAAACCAAGAAAACCAAAAAGGAGAAAAACAATCTCTCCATGAACAAAATGGACCGAACAAACAAAGACCCAAGAAAGAAAGGAAAAACCACAAGCCAAGCACCAAGCCAGCCAAAGAGAAGCAAATCACCAAAGCCAACCAGCAACGCCAAAAACCTCCAGAAACGACCTTCAGCTACCAAGACCACAAGGTTACATATTAAATAAGGAGAATTCGGAACTTAATGACCTTCAGCATCCACATAGAGAAATGGTGAGTCCTCCAATTTCTGGATACTCCCATCCACTCCACAAACTTGGATTATAAATTTGAAACCTGAGATGCTGGAAGGAACTGCAAGGCTAGAAACATAAAATGCTTCTACATGTGCCACCCCAAGATATTCCGGGACATTTTGTAACTTGAGGCGATTATCGCCTTTCTTGACTACTTGCATGACATAAACATTGTAGCGTTCAAAAACCATGTCACTACTGCTATCTTTCAACTCCCAAATGATCTTAATATCAAGGGTCTTTTTTCCCTCTGGACTTGAAGTCCATTTAATATACTCACTTTTAACTAGCCATGAACTATAGGGAGGAAAAACAGGATTCTCAACAGATCGTATAATGATATTACCGAGCACAGCGAAATAATTAGACGATGAATCAGAAACTAGTGCACTATTTCCCCCAACCATTCCAGTTTCAGGGCTTGATCTGTAGCAGACAGTATTTATATTTGTTAGTTTGTATCCATCCATTTGAATTCTGCCCATTTGAACTAACCAATCAGGGGAAAGTCCAAGCACTTCAAGTGGAGTTGTCTCAATCACTTCAGAGAAATCATTCGAGAATTTCTTTTCAATGCTGGAGACAAGTAATAACTCTCTCTTATTTGTGCTAGATAAGAACTCCAACGAAAGGCCTAGTTGAGAATCCCCACTTGACTTCGACTGCAAAAATTAAGTCATGGACAAAGGTTGAACTAAATGTAATAAGAATCTTGTTATTTATAGACCCCTTCAACGCAAAAAGAGTTCACTTACAGAATACATGACTACTAAAGGATCTTCCCCCAAAACAACCTCTCCTTGAAAGAGTTTTATTTTAGTGTGGCAATTTGGCTCGAGAGTCCCTTTGAATGCAATGCTTCCTCCTCCATTGAAGACTTCCTCAAAACTAGCAAATCCATGAATTCAAACGAAGGAAACTTTTAAGTACAAATTCAAACAAACAAATGAAAGGTTTGAAGAAAGCAATGGTTGAGAAAATGTTTAATTCAAAGAAAATAGATACAAGTACTTCTACTTACTCTGAATAAGCTTTCACAGGATGTGAAGTTGAAGGCTCAGTTACCTCAAGTATGGGCTGCAAGAAGTTGCAAATGCTGAGGAAGGAGAATTCTAAAACAGTAACAAACAGGCATCCTCTAATGGCTTAAGGGGCAGAAACTTCGATACAAGCCAGCAATAAAACTATTTAGTGAATCCTAGAGATATATTGTTTACTTGGAAGCTTTGACTGGACAGATTGTTCCATGAAGCATCTGATATTTTTACTCCATTGATAGAAACTTGATAACCATGACCCTGGAAACGTGGAAAGAGACAGACTTTGACTGAACAATAATATTGAGTAGACAAACTTTTGGAGTGCTCAAGCACCTGTTCAAGGAACGGATGCTTGGCAGAGTTCTAACCTGATCAAAATTTGAGTAGAATGGTAGTAGTTTTGGGTAACTTCGCACTATTTCCCATGATTTCTTCACAAGATTCCACCATCTGTTAAAGTTCATAGTAGACAAGATCGAACCCCATTGAACATTTAGGAAGATGATAAATGCTGACTCTCCTAACAGCTCAAGATACAAAAGACATTCATGATCATATCATTGCAAAGTAGCAATGTGCGGGGTGGGAGGATTCAAACATCTGATGGTATATCCCGAAGTTGGCTATGATATTCTGAAGTTAGTTCTTAAAAATCATGAGAAAATCAATTAATGTACTTACTTATTTTGAGCAATCTGAAAATCTGTTTCCTGGGGGTGCTCATACACCCATCCAGGAGCAAATATAGCAACCGACACATCGTCCTTTCTCAGAACATCCAGTGCAACGTTCGTCTGGTGTTTAAGAAAAATTTTTATTGAAAAATTAATTCTACCAACTCTTGGCTTGGGATAGTCATTGAACTCAATATAAAACAAAAACAAGTAACACAACACTATTTTGTAGGCTTACATCCCATCCTCCACCGCCAAAGGTACCCCTCCCAAAAACATCAATGCCCATGTACACATCATGCTGTCTCTCCCCAGCAGCAGCAGCAGAACTTTTAGGAGTATCCTCCTAAGATCACAAATAAAAATTTTCAACAAGTTCTTATTAGTAATGAAAGGAAATTTGTTTCTTTCTTACTTTCCAACCATAGTTTACAAATATTCCATCGGAGATATCAAAGAAAGGCTTGTTTTTCTCATTCAATTCATTTTGCCAACGAAGCCTACCATCCACAGTTACACTGTCATACCTGTCCACAAGTAAGCAGCAGTTAATAGAGTCCATAAGCTCAAAATACGAATAACCAAGCCTGTAACATAGCTCAGGACTGACCATATAACTAAGGACCCAGGTAGCTTAGAATGCATAGACTGGGTTAAATAACTCACAAATTCTTTCAAATGAAGAACTTGCTGAGAGTTCATAGAGATTTCCATATTCATCTGCATAAACACACTCAAAACTTAAGAAAAATCATTAAAGGAGAAGAGAATGAAGAAATATTTACACCTAATAAGCTATAGGATTCATATGAACCATTCGATGAAAACACCATAAGCAAAGCAATACCAGCCATCCATCAAATCCCAATGCAACAGCAAGCTCAGTTAAGCACCCTGCATACATTTCAGCAGAATCCTTGGATGCAAGCAAGGTATCCCGAACATCTTTGCCCCCTCCTTCCACAATGAAAGTCCCCAGCACCTATGGATTTGATACCACTATTAATTTGTATGTCATGATGCCTATAGCAACCCCCTTTAGTAACTTGCCCTTGTTCACAAATAGCTATATACGTAGCTGACTGGACACATCTGTCTTAATTCAATCATTTTCAAATTTTCATCTATGTTTATTTGCTTGTTCTTTATTTGATTCATATGCATATGATGTCAAATGACTGATTGACATTAGTGATAATGCATGATTTACTAGTAAAATTCTTAGGGATACAAATTTCTCAAGGATATGTAGGGCCGAAGCTATTTTTAAATGGTTAAAAATTATTTTTGTCATATTCAAAATCACTCTAGAATATGTTTTTATTCATTCAAAATGAATTAGAGATGTTCATTTAATCTGCGGAGAATAGAAGAGGGAGTTGAGAGAGATTTCTCCCCGTTTGGATTACACTCCCCATTTGTTCCCACCTCCAATCCCACCGTACTTCACTTTTTTATATATAAATATCTAGTGTGTAAGACTGTTGTAAAGTTTGTAAAAATTATATTAAACATTATATTATATTTTTGTTTAGATGATGATGTTTTAAATCTTTTAATAGAATATATATCGAAAAATAGAAATTAATCATTTAAAAAAGCTATGTGAGAAAATATTTTTTTTAAAAAATTATTAAAAATAGAAAAATTCGACTTGATCCCCGAAATTATCCATGGTTAATCATTGTCCCAATACCTGTAAAAATAAATAAATAGAAAATTTGAGAGGAGAAGAATTGATGTAAGAGGGGAAAATTGCTTTAAAAAGTGTAAATTGATTTTATATCATCAAACATGTTAAGTCGTAGTAAAACCACTAAATGAACCGAGTGGGTAGGTAGGTAGGTAGGTAGGTAGGTAGGTAGGTACCTTGACACCGTGCCTGTGAGCAGTATTTGTCCAAACAGGAGGTGGAAGGGTGACCAAATCATGGGAGAAGTACATAAAAACGTCCATCAAATACCAATGCCATATTGCATAAGCATCTGGGTTACTTCCTCCCTGAACCCATTTATCGTCTAGATATCCACCAGCCATATCATGGCACACAAGCATCCTGCGCCTGTTGGGCAACGAAGCAGGCGGAAGAGCAACAGTGGATACATTAAAAGGGTAGTGAAATGATTTGAAATAGGCCCGCGACTCCAACTCCGCGAGTGTTTTGATAGGGTAAGCAATCGGAATAGACGGCTCCGTTGGGTCAAATGGAACAACCTCCGACATTGTTGCCACACCGCACACCTCTGCTGCTTTCTGCAACTTCAGGTTTGATATCTATATATACATATATCCTTCCTTGTTGCATTTTGTTTTTGTTGTTTTTCCATTCTTTCTTTCCCCTTTCATTTTTTGTCTTCTTCTTTCTTTCTTTCTTTGTGTTTTCCTTTCATTATTTTGTTCTTCTTTTCTTTCTTTCTTTCTCATCTTTCTTCTCTCGCCTTCCAAATC